CCCGCAGCGCCCCGCGCTAACCCCAACCCCCTCTCGCTCCGCAATGCCCTGCTGCACATGGCCCTGCACCCTGCCTTGCTTGCCCACCAGGTACCAAGCCTTGCTGCCCAGCACTGCTCCACCCTGGAACGGGCAGCAAACGGGCCAGAGTGATCGCTGTGGCAAGGAACGTCTCCCCCAAAGGGTTGGGGAGAGCCCCCCAAAACCCAGACAGGTCTAAGCCCACCCCCCATCCAGGGCCAAGACCCCCACATAAGGGGACTCAGGACTGCCCACCCCATAACAAGTCTTTTCAGCATTGTTTTTACCATCATAGTTTCTGTACCAGAGGGGTAGCCATGTTAGTCTGAATCTGCAAGAACGAGAAGTCATGTGGCAACTTATAGACTAACAGATTTATCGAAGCATAAGCTTTCGTGGGCAATCGGATGCATCTGATGAAGTGGGTCTTATGCTCCGACGCTTCCGTTAGTCGATAAGGTGCCCCAGGACTCCTCGGCGCTTTTGCAGATTGAGACTAACACGGCTCCCCCTCTGATACCAGACCATAGGGACACTGGAACAATGTGTATGGGGGGGAGGGTGCTGAGAGCCACTGGACCAAACTGTAAACCCTGAATAATAATGGAAACCACTTCCAGCCAGGGTGGATGCACCTTTAATGCCAGCAATGGGAATGTAGTAACACGAAGGCCTAAAAAACATAAGCCCATGCAGCACAAGCCCGGTCTGAGGCCTTGCTAACAATGGACAAACCATGGCGAACATAAAGCAAAGCTACGCTGTGGGCAAGAGGCAGGCCCCTGCTCACAGAACTTGGCAGGAGCAGGGCTGAGCGTGCGAAACTCATTGGTAATAAGCCCAGGCACAGAACAATAACTGGTACTGTTACGCTTATGAGAAGCACATGGGAAAAGGCAGCACACTGTGTTTATTGAGACTACAGTAGAGAAACAGTCAGAATATGCTTTACACATATACGCACACACCTGCAGATGGTGCATAGTTACCAGTCCGCAGTGCCGGACTGAGCCATACTTGCGCCCCCGGCAGCAGGCACACGGCGCACACGTGGCCCGGGCACATGGTGCCCCTTACAACTTCAATCAGGCGCACCCCCCGCATAGGATGGCACCCTGGCTAGCCCTCCCCCCTTAATCTGGCCCTGCCAGTCCATGGTGGCTAAGTCAGTCTTACTGGCCAGGTCAGGCTGACTGAGCGAGGAGTCAGGGTTTCTCTGAGGCTTGGCTTGTGGGACTGAACTCAGAGTCCCATGGCAAGAGCGCCCTTCTTATCCATGTCAGTTCCCATTGGGTTCTGCAGGTTTTACAGTGTCATGCTGCCATCATCCACCCTTAGGGGGTATTCATTTGTGTTGCTTTGATGGTGATTGTCAGGGTTCCCTTGGTTGTTTCTCACTCTTGGGAGGGTCTTTGCCTGTCTCCAGGATTCCTCAATGCTGCTAATTCAATTCAGCCTCAAGACACAATGCATGTTTCCTT